CAAGAATGTAACCAATTGTTCAACTCTATTGGGGACCAAAAGTAACATTTTAAGACACAGTCACTGAAAACGCTAAATTATAATGTGAATATTGAAGGGGATGTGTCACTTTCAGTGTCTGTACAAGCCTGTATATATAGAGAGAGAATAATTTCTAATGATTAATCATTAGAGAAAAGGCATAATGAGGAAATGTGTCCATTAAAAATACAGTGTCTATTTATACTAAGTGCATATTAAGGGATAATAATTTTTTTAATTTGGAAATGAACTTAATTTGTTTTAAAACGAAATGCAAATGTATTCAATACAATCTACATCTTCTGAAATGTTATCGTATGAGCAGAGGCGGACAGTAGTAAAATATTTTTACTCTGCTTTAAAAGTACTTTTCAAGTGTCTGTACTTTATCAGAGTGTTTTTCTTTAGAAAACTTTACTTCACAACATTCCAAAGCATAATATTGTACTTTTTACTGCATTACGTTTCATATTAAATATCATTTAATACTTAATTACATTAGAAATGTAGTACTCTTACTTTTACTCAAGTACAAGGAATTACTAAATTTACTTGAGTACAAGGAATTACTACATTTTTAATGTTCTTAAATATTAAAGGTAAAAAAACAACAACTTTTATTTATGAAACGTTGTGCAGTAAAAAGTATGACATTATGCTTTGGGATGTAGTGAAGTAAACATTTTCCAAAGAAAAACACTCTGATAAAGTACAGATACTTTTTAAATTTACTTGCGTAAAGTAAGAATATTTCACTACTGTCCACCTCTGCATACGAGTATACAAATTATGTAGGTCCACTTCGTGCTGCCAAAACAGCTCTGATGTGGCTGCATGGACTCCACGAGACTTCTGAAAGTATCCTGTGGTCTCTGGCACCAAGAGATAGCAGCCTCATTTAGGTCCTGTAATTTACAAGGTGGGGCTGGTCCAGATTTGCTGGTCCAGGACATCCCATACAGTAGATGCTAAATCGGATTGAGATCTCCAAACATTTTTCGCAGTATGGCAGGCAGGTCCATTTTCATCCGGGGTGGACGTGGTCTGCAACAATCTTTAGGTATGTGGTACATGTCAAAGTAACACCAACATGAATGCCAGAACCCAAGGTTCCCCAGCAGAATTGACTGTTCACTTGTTGCCTAATATATCCCACCTCTTGAAAAGTGCCATTGCAATGATATAATCAATGTTATTCACTTCACCTGTGAGTGGTTTTAATGTTCATGGTTCAGTAATATTCCACCAGAAGCCTGTACTGAGCGTTTAGTATTCTTGCCTTTTTCAAACAGTCGCCTAGGTTACTGACTTCTTATGATAAGAGTCCTAATCTGGGATGAGTATGGTCCATGAGTGTGGTTATTTAGATTATAGGAACTGATTGTAAATCAACACCATTTCACTGAGGACACGGATATGCTTGGACACAGCTTTTGCCGATGAAGTGATTGTTGATGATTAGCTTACATTCTGAAAAAAAATAAACACATTTTTGTATTTGGATACAGCTATGTGGACTGATAGTAGATGAGACAACATCACCTTAAACCAGACAAACAGATATATTGCCACCTGCTGGACAGAATAGACCTTGTAAATGGCACCAATAATTTCCTTACAAGCCTCTTCGCTGTTGTACCGTATAGTCTTTATTTGGGGAAACAATTTTCGTCACAAGCTTAGCAGCTGCTTTGGTGTTCAAGGACATCTGAGATACAGGTATGATTTTTAACACACACACACACACACACACACACACACACACACACAGCTAGGTTTCTTTCTGGGGACTTTCCATAGACTTTATACTGACCAAGCGATATTTTCTATCCCCTAACCCTAAACCTACCCCTTACAGAAAACCAGTTTGCATTCTTACACTTTCAGACAAACAGGCCAGTCCCCACAATGTCAAAAATTTCAAGTTATACTATACTTGTGGGGACATTGTTCACCACAATGTAGGATAAACACACACACACACACACACACACACACACACACACACACACACAGAGTGTTTCATATAATTTCACAACTTAAAAACTGGAAGAAGAAAAAAGTACACTGAATTTTTTATGTATTTTATCCTTGTGGGGACATTTGTTCCCCACAATGTAGGATAAACACACACACACACGCATGCACGCACGCACGTACACACACACACACATTGACCAGTTTATTTTATGTTTCTCATGATCTTAAAAACATCTCATTTTGAAGACTTTTGCTTAAATTTGGAAATAAATTGTGCTAAATTTCTTTAAAAGACTTGTAATGGTAGTGTAATGTCTTGATCTCCTCTGTTCCCCTCAAGACGGCTCTGTGAGCATCAGTACGGGAACTCTCCACGAGTTCGCATTAATGGCCATGTGGCGGCCCGCTTTCCCTTCATTCCACTGCCTCTGGACTATATTCTGCCTGAGCTGCTGAAGAACGCCATGAGGTAACATTCCACATTCCCCCCACAAAATAAGATACACACACACACACACACGCGCGCACACACACACACACACACACACACACACACACACACACACACACACACACACACACACAGTGTGTTTCGTATAATTTCACAACTTAACAACTGAAAAGAAAAATGTACACTGAAAAAATATATATTTATGTATTTATTTGGAACCGTTTTCACTCAGAAATTGCTAGTAGATTTCTCAAATAATTACAAAGTAACACAAATAGCACACTGAATTGAATGTGAATTTTTAAAGTAGAAAGACTGAAAAAGCCTTTGAAAAAACTTTGCAAAAACATACTCCTTTGCTTTATTTACAACTTAATAAAATAACGTAGCAATTAAATTCATCCATAAATATATGTCTAGCTTTTGATATTTTATTTATTTTATTTTTTTATTTTATTTGACATACAATTGAATGCTGTTCTGAGCTCTTCTAAAGGATGTTCCGCGCACACACACACACACACACACACACACACACACACACACACACACACACACACACACAGTGTGTTTCGTATAATTTCACAACTTAACAACTGAAAAGAAAAATGTACACTGAAAAAATATATATTTATGTATTTATTTGGAACCGTTTTCACTCAGAAATTGCTAGTAGATTTCTCAAATAATTACAAAGTAACACAAATAGCACACTGAATTGAATGTGAATTTTTAAAGTAGAAAGACTGAAAAAGCCTTTGAAAAAACTTTGCAAAAACATACTCCTTTGCTTTATTTACAACTTAATAAAATAACGTAGCAATTAAATTCATCCATAAATATATGTCTAGCTTTTTATATTTAGATATTTTATTTATTTTATTTTTTTATTTTATTTTGTAGATTTCTCAAATAATTACAAAGTAACACAAATAGCACACTGAATTGAATGTGAATTTTTAAAGTAGAAAGACTGAAAAAGCCTTTGAAAAAACTTTGCAAAAACATACTCCTTTGCTTTATTTACAACTTAATAAAATAACGTAGCAATTAAATTCATCCATAAATATATGTCTAGCTTTTGATATTTTATTTATTTTATTTTTTTATTTTATTTGACATACAATTGAATGCTGTTCTGAGCTCTTCTAAAGGATGTTCGTAACCAGCTTTATCTGTTTAGGTAATATTTATCTAATATTAACCCTCTATTACAATTTAATAGTCATGTTGCTATAAGGATTTGTTTCTGGTTCTTGGCATGTACATGCATAATTGTCTTTTATCCTGGAGCAGAAGGATGTAATAATACCTATTTGGGGGGGAAAAAACAAATAAAAAAATTAATTGAATAGAAGACTTTACAGCTAAAAGGTTGTAAATGATGTGTATATCCTTCTTGTAATTGCACAAGACTACAATGCAACCTGTGTTTTTTTTTCTCTCTCTCTCTCTTTCTCTAAAAATATTTTCTTAAAGCAGTTTTAAAGTTTTGATGATGTTGGTAAGGAAATATACATCAGTGAATATACAGTTTTGGGATTAGAGTTACGTACAGTGGGGCAAAAAAGTATTTAGTCAGCCACCAATAGTGCAAGTTCTCCCACTTAAAAAGATGAGAGAGGCCTGTAATTTTCATCATAGGTATACCTCAACTATGAGAGACAAAATGAGAAAAAAAAATCCAGAAAATCACATTGTAACATACAATTGAATGCTGTTCTGAGCTCTTCTAAAGGATGTTCGTAACCAGCTTTATCTGTTTAGGTAATATTTATCTAATATTAACCCTCTATTACAATTTAATAGTCATGTTGCTATAAGGATTTGTTTCTGGTTCTTGGCATGTACATGCATAATTGTCTTTTATCCTGGAGCAGAAGGATGTAATAATACCTATTTGGGGGGGAAAAAACAAATAAAAAAATTAATTGAATAGAAGACTTTACAGCTAAAAGGTTGTAAATGATGTGTATATCCTTCTTGTAATTGCACAAGACTACAATGCAACCTGTGTTTTTTTCTCTCTCTCTCTCTCTTTCTCTAAAAATATTTTCTTAAAGCAGTTTTAAAGTTTTGATGATGTTGGTAAGGAAATATACATCAGTGAATATACAGTTTTGGGATTAGAGTTACGTATGTCCTTTGAACACACATTTGAAAGGAGATTTGCGTTTTCCGTGATTGAGTTTTGAGATCATATTCTCATCAGGGAGCTAACAGTGTTTCTGTTCCTGAAATCAAATCCACCTGTTCACAGAGCAGAACCAGGTACAAAGTCAAACAGAATATGACCTACACACCATTACAGGTAAACAACAAAGCAATGCCAAATAAAGGGATTTCCAACATTAATCTTTGTCTAATGTGAGCACATAAAAAATAAAAATAAACTTTTTTAGCTTTTGTGTTCCACACCCCCTTATTAGTTAATGTGAAGTTAGTCAATGTTTAATCTTGTGGCTGTTTCCTCATGTTATTCAAATTAGTGAAGTAGATCTCATCATAAAAGGGCTGCGAGAAGAATTTCTGTAGTCCTGATGCAGTTGTGCACCAGTGAGCAGATGGTTCATTGGACAGAATGGCTCTACGAGAGGCAACACTTTTAGGAATAATTATTGTATTCTCAGGTTAGCTGATTTTAGATTACTTTAATAAATGATTTATATTATTTAATGTAATTAATTTATTACATTGACTATTATTTATTTAATATTATTTATCATCCATTTTTAAATTAATGTTTATTATTATTGTTTTAATTCTTACTTTTTAATATTGCCAGTCTTATGTATTATGGCTAGACATAAATGGTACAATTTTTAAAAAAATTAAGTGAAGACATTTAATTGGATTTTCATCTTGTTGAACTTTTTCTGCTTTTATCTGCAGGCCACATTCACTCTGTGTTTACAGCTCAAAGTAAGGAAATATTGCATTGTATCTACTTGAATACATAATTGATCAAGTCCAGTTATATTAATAGCATGTCCAATGTCCAATATAACTGGGAAATTAGATTTTGCTTTGTTGTTTTATTTTGAGACAAATCACATGTTAAAGAAAGAAAGAAAGAAAGCTGTTGTCCACTTTGATCTTATTTATTTGGGTCTTATTTCAGATGTATGTAAGACGTATGGCAGCGGCATCTTTTATACATTCAACAAAACTGCATTTCATCTGAAGACCACATGTCCTGTAACGCTTACACGCTTCAGTCATGCTGGAGTGGACTGTCATATCATCGTCCAGCGTGGACCGAATGGCCTGATGGACAGAGTGGAGATCATTGTGAATAAAGTCACGACCCTCGTTCACAATAATACTGTGACAGTGGAAGGCAGCAGGTATGGGAGTCACATTTGTGACTAATATTTCGATTTTTGTTGTATAAAAGTTCAGAAAAGGGTTGTTCATGTTATTAAAAGAGCTTATAATGTTGTAATTATTATAGTATAGCATTGTAATAGTATTTCATTATAATAGCAGCTTTGTGTGCTACTAAATATCAGCACCCGCTCATATTTCCTTCTTTACATAATTTGTTTAATTTAGCAAATTGAAAATTTTGCTTAGAATTAAAATCACATATTTTCTGAATTGGGATTTTGCTAGAATAAACATATTATTAATAAAGCGAATACTTTTAGTTTCTATTTATACCATTTCATTCAATATACCATTGTGTAGCATGTAAATAAATATACTGACTACATTTTTAGTTTCTTGTTAATATATCCGCATTGAATTTTTGTCAATGTTTTCACAGAATTTCCCTTCCATACAACCACACCTATCAGCACGTGTTTCATTATGGAATCTATACCAGGCGCCAAAGCAAAGTTTTGCCATTGTCTGTCACATGGTACAGTGTAGCTAATGGTGTCAGTTCACTTTGGGTGAGTTACCATTAAAGACAATGGTCCGCAAGATTGCAAAATTTTTATGTAGCATTGTGGATAAGAATAAAAATATGTGATTACTATATTATAGCGACCCTGACCATACTGTATGTATTCTTTAAAGTGCCCCTATGAAATGAAAGGTAATGAAAGGTTCATATTTTGGTTTTAGGAGTCGCCAACAACAGGTTGACATGCATGCAAGGTCAAAAAACACTACCTTACTTGCTCAACGACTCACAAACGATTCGCTCAACGATTCATTTAATGTGAAAATTATGCAGTGAATGTTGTTAAATGTTAAATAGTATTTCTGTAGCTGTCCGTGCCGCAGTCTAAGATAACTATTAACAACCTTACCTTTTATTAAAAACGCAACCTTAGCACAATTAACCAAATTAAACTTAGAATTTTTTTGTGATATATTTGCATTTTATTTATAATTATTTGTGTAATTACACTAACAACATTATTTTTGAACATATGTGTATGACTCATTCCACAAATGATCATTCTGGCTTTCAGTTCCTTCGTGCATGGGCAATCTGAGGTTTGCTTATGCCATGCTGGCGTGTAACCATACCTGCCGTTCCCTCTCGGGCACTGATCCGACCTGTGAGGTGGTGGATGACCCTGTGGAGGGGTGTGGATGCACATCAGATACTCACTTGAGCAACCAACAGACCTGCAGCCCTCGCCCGCTGTGCAGCTGCCACCACCCAGGAGGCGACACACCTCCAGGTCCTGTGGTTATCGGTGGACGCCAATGTTAAGGATGAAAACATCTCAGTTCAAATAAATGTTTACAATTTTTTTTGTTTTTGCTGTGTATAAAATGTTTGTTTTGTATTACAGCTCGTGTGAAAATGGACAACTTAATTGTCCTAAAGTTTGCAGTGAGTGAAATCATCTTCTTACAGTTTAGAAAAACAACAACAAAAACACACTACACAGAATACTCAACCAGTGCATATAGCAACTTTTAGTATGTGTATTTAAACTGAATAGCCTTTGTGGAATTCTATGGCAGTTCTGAACACAGATCATTTATTTATAATACAAAATTAGACAAGACATCCTCCGTAGTTTTAATTCACTGTGATTTTTTTCAGCACAAATACTTTAAGAGTTTCAGAATGCACCTTATCCACAAAAATCTATGCAGTTTGCCTGCAATTAATGGTGTGATAATGCTGCATGCGTAATTCATCAAACTAGGTTTAAATACCCAAGCATTGTGTAGCTAAGCAGTATGTAGTTAGTCACTTTTTAGTGAACTCCACCCTTGAATTTTAAAGTAATGCAACACCTACTAATCTTGTGAACCATTAAAATTTGGAAATTTCATGATTCATTGCCAAATATTTCTATTGAGTGCTATTCCTATTTTCTAGATTGCACAGTGGGAAAGATTTGTGTGGATTGCGCACAAATACCAGTGGACACTGCCCATAGGACATGTGAAAGCTTGACCAAACCTGTTTGTCTAAAATTTGACATCTGTTATCAAATTGACAATTGTTATAGTGTTAATTTTCTGCAAGAGTTTAAGTGAAATTCCTCATATATATTCACAGAGTGAGGATAACAGCTGTATCAGTGGTTGTTATTGTCCAGATGGCCTTTTTGAAGATCATAACGGTGGTTGTGTGGCTCATGAAAACTGCACCTGTGAATTCAGCGGGAGGGTGTATGAAACTGGGCAGCGCGTGGAGACCAACTGTAAAATATGGTAAGAACCCTGTCTTCTAGCCTTGACCTTGGTTCACATATTTTAAAAGAATAATTTACCCACCTTCATGTCATTCCAAAGCCATAGGTTTTCCTTTTGTGGAATAAAAAAGGAGATATTTTAGAATATTCAAGATGCTCTTTTCCTGACTGGGAAAGTAAGTGGATATTAAGCTCTTAAAATTACAGCAACAACAACAAAAAAATCCTATTAAAAGTAGTCCATTCAGCTTGCGCATTATGTTTCAGGTCTTCTAAATTTGAGTTGATATTTACTAAAAATCTTCCTGTCCACTGTAGTGCTCAAATCTCACTTGTTCCTTTATATATTCGAACTTGGCACCTCAAGATTCTAAGCAATAACAAGTGTAAATGACATTTGAGAGCTTTAAGATTGTATGCTTTGAGATATCCTGGCCTGCAACATTACAATGAAGTAAAAATCACCTGATCACTGGATTTGAATTACATGATTTTGTGTCGCAGCACATGTAGAGGTGGTGAATGGTCTTGTATAGATGAGGCATGTTCAGGAGTATGTGAGGTGTTCGGAAATGGGCAGTATCACAACTTTGACTCCAAATGGTACAGATTCGATGGCCACTGTCAATACACCCTAGTGAAGGTGAGTGGTTGCAATGTGACAAATTATCTTTTCCAAAAGATTCTGTTTATGTACAGTATACTAGTAAAATTCACAAGTGCTGTAAAAAGTAGCACTCAACAATTGGCAAACATATTTAACTTCTAATACTTCTTGTATAAGGCTGCTGGTTCAACTGGGCAGTTTGCAGTTAAAACTGAGAGTGTTCCTTGTTGTGATGAGTCTTTGACATGTTCCCGCGCCATCTCAGTGGAGCTCTTAGTATTTATAACCATCACCATCTGTGAATATATAAATTGTTGTTGGATGTTGTCAATATTTTAACTTTCTATCAAGTAAAAATTAGAATGCACTCAGTTATGAAATTGTAATTGCTACAATTTATCACAAGCTTCAGTCTGGATCCAGAACACCTGAGAAGAGATGATGCAACCCCTCAGAGGACCTCAGATGATGCCAACCCTGAAACAACATACAGAACTACCACATTTTGCTATAAGTTTGATTGCATCATATAATGATTGCTGTTAATATTATTCATCGTCTGTTTTATTATGTTTTATATTGATTTTTCTGTACTGCTGGTTCGTCTGGTCAGAGGAGAACTGGCCCCCCGCCTGAGCCTGGTTTCTCCCAAGGTTTTTTCTCCATTCTGTCACTGATGGAGTTTTGGTTCCTTGCCGCTGTCGCCTCTGGCTTGCTTAGTTGGGGACACTTCATTTCCAGCGTTATCGTTGACATGATTGCAAAGATATTATTTAAACTGAACTAAGCTGGATGTTGACATCACTGAATTCAATGATGAACTGTCTTTAACTGAAAAATGAGTGTTTACTATTGTCATTTTGCATTATTGACACTATTTTCCTAATTAATACTGTTCAGTTGCTTTGTCACAATCTGTATTGTTAAAAGCGCTATATAAATAAAGTTGACTTGACTTGACTTGACTTAATTGGGATCCTAAGTTTGTCTTTTTTTGAACTAGTGTGTGAGTGCAAAGATGTGATGCGAAATCAAAGCTGGTTGTGTGGAGAAACATGGAGAGAGGATTGTGCTGATAAAGCCTGTAATGCTGGCGTGATTAAGGTAAAATCCATTACCTGTCCAACATCCACAATCAGGACTGATTGCCCTAGAGACAAGAAGTCTATGGTCAAAGATGAAGAAACTTGCTGTCAGAGCTTGGAGTGTGACTGTAAGTAAACTGACTTGTCATATACACATTGAAACCAGTGGTACTACTTGTTGGTGTGGCTATCTATTTGCTCAGACGATGGAAAATAAGAAGAGTGATGAGGATGCCATCACTCTTTCACAAAAGTTTGTATCATTCTATTTTTCCTGGTTTCTTTTTTAGGCCAGTGTCAGGTTTATGGAGACCCACACTAATCTCCTTCCAGGGGATCGCTTTTGACTTCATGGATAACTGCACCTACACTCTAGTGGAGGAACGAGTACTGCAGCACAGATTAAGCATTACTGTAGACAACTACTACTGTGTGCCGGAAATTGATAATTCCTGTTCCAGGGGAATCACATTAAAATACTGGAATAATATTGCCACACTTATGGTAACAGTTCACAGTAGAGGTATGTTTACAATGATTTAAAAAAAAGTGTTATTCTACTAATTTACGAATGTATTAGCCTCCCAGAGCCATACATTTGTATGGGGATAAAGTGTGGGCCCATATTTATCTTTATTCTAGCCAAAAGACAAGGACCAGTCTGTCTGTCTTATTGACATATAAGCAACTAAATACTTTTTGACTTTTTCTGTCAGCTTTTTTATTATCAATACCAAATTACATATACCATTATTTTTTAACCAAACATCCTCAACTCTGAAAGTTCAAAGAAAATGAACTCAATTCAAGGAACTCAAATATGCAAATATCTAACAATAAAACCGATTTTTGCTCCACACCCACAGTTCTCTGCTGGTCTATTTCTATGAATAACTGGGGATGACAGTTCACTTGAGCTTTGATGATAAGCTGATTGTCTCTGTCTTTTTCCAGTGTACTTTAAACCAGGTGATTATAAAACCACCATATGAAGATCAGGTATTCAAGTTTGAAAGCAGTGATAGCCAGGTCTACATCTACATCAAGCCTATCCGTTCCTATGTTTCTCTTACACCTTTCAATAATCTGTTAATCAACTTGGCAATGGAGTACTTCCAAAACAACACCCAAGGACAGTGTGGTACGCCATTAAAATCATTTAACTGTTGATAGAAAGTAACTGGCACATTAAATATGGATGGTTCATGGTGCATATGATAACACAGACCATAAATAGATTGTGTTACAACTGTGATAACCTTACACTCTTGACTTCGCAGGTGTATGTGGTGGTCAGTCGTGTATACGAAGAAACTGTGTAGTTGAAGATGACAACTGCTGTGATAAGACTGCATATGACTGGGTTGTAGAAGACCCTCTGAAACCCTACTGCAAATCTGTCCTCACCAATGTTCCTTGTGTCCCTCCCCCGCCACCTTCAACTCCAACTCTTCCTCCACTTCCCTGCCATCCTACAATATGTGACCTACTTCACCATGAATAAGTCACTGTTGGGTTTTTCACTGAGGTCTATAAGCATAAAAGTTGGGTTTTGTAAGTAAAAAATCCTGTGTTTTTTCATATAAAATGACAAACAACTTCATCGTTTTGCTTGGCTTGTTGCATTGTGACTATAACAATAGGTATTAACATCTTTTACTCAGAGTGTTTGCGGAGTGTGGTGAAAGGATCAATCTTACGTCCGTAGAGAAGAATTGCCGGTTTGACTACTGTTCATACAATAGTAGTGTTGGTGCCTGTTCTTCTCTTGAGTACGCAGCATCAGAGTGCAAAAGGATTGGTATTTGTGTAGACTGGAGATACCTTACTAAGGGCTCCTGTGGTAAGAAAACAGTATGAAAAGCCAGTTTCAGAAAATAGTAGTAGCACGCTTATATTTCTGTACATTTGTACACTGATGTCTACAACATATCACATATAACTAATTTACGTATACACAATTTTAAAGACCTGCAAGTCTTTACGAATCCTTTGAGGTTCATGAAAGTGTGAATTTGTGGAATTCATAGCTTGATTTGATAAGTTACTGTAATTGTATTGGCCGAAACTTTGTGTTTTCCATGTGCATTTGATTTTGTGTTATCTCCAATATTAAAATGCTTTATTAGTAGACTTTGCAAGCATTGCTGTCTTCTAATAATATTCCACTGTGTTTTAGAGATCACATGTCCGGAAGGAATGATGTACAATGAGTGTCGAATGTCTCCAAATGATGTCTGTCGAGGCGGGTGAGAAAGATTTTTACTTTAAATTATTCAAGCATTTCTAAAGTTCAAGTCCTGCTGCATATTTCACCTCGTAATTAGAAGATTGTGTTTCAGTGAAAAAATGCCAGTGCACCACCTTTTACTTTGTCTAGATTTTTTTTGTCAATTTTTTATTTATTTATTTTTAATAATGGTTATGGGTTAGGACTGCATGTTTGCTTATAGGTGTGATGTTCATTGTATGACCTCACACCCATCACTCTATTGCCTCCTCAGTGTTCGCGTGCATGCAACCTCTGTGGTTGGTCTGAGATCAGGCTGCTTTTGTCCAGATGACCAGATGCTTGCGGAAGAACACAAGCAAATCTGTGTGTCTGAATGCCCAAGTGAGTTAAGAACTCAACCAAATATTACAAAACAAAAGTTTTTATTAATAGGCCAATCCTGAGAGCAATGTGACAAACATTTTGTTACAGTAATATTTTAAAGGTAATTTTTGTTAGGACAATTGACTTTGCAAAGATACTTTGCTAGTTTTCCTTAATAAGTAATGCTTTCTCTAAATTGAGTAATTTAGATATGCATTTCATTTCATATTTATTTTTCAGCATGTAAAGGGCCATTGGGTGAGCCCATGCCATTAAGAGTTCATTTACCAGTAAAACCACAAACTTCTGTTAACAAATATCTGTAAATAGATGTTTATTATGAATACTGCATAACGGAAATCTTTCATCTTTCTATAAGGTGGGACCAGTATGGGAATCAAACTGTCACATATGCACATGTAATAACCAGACTAGAACTGAAGAGTGCATACCCAAACCTCAAGAACCCACTCCAGTCTGCAACGCCTACTCCATCCTGGTCTCTGACTGCTGTGATCAGATTTGCGGTAATGTTGCAATCTTTCCACAGAACATCCTAGTGTAGAATGCCACTGGTGCTTGGAATAAATACATATTCTGTTTTAATTGGTCATTTCATTTGGTCCAGTGTTGCAAAAACCGATTTAGAGTATGTTTTCTTTGCTTATTTACAGTTGAGAAGAGTTGCGAGTACAATGGAAAGACTTACAAGGTAAAGGAAATAGTACACATATTTACTCACAATGGGAGTATGGTTTGTTTTCTATAGTTTCAGAGGCCCCTTTAAAAGACCCTGCTGTAACCAAATTTAGCACAAAATACATTGAACAATGCATGTGTGTTCTCACTCTGGTGGATTCAGGTGGGTGATTGGTGGACAGACCCTTCACAGCCGTGTGAGTTTTTCAGCTGTAGTCAGACAGGAACTGAGGTTGAAAAAACCGTGTGTCCGGGGCAAATCTGTGCTGAGATGGGAATGACCAAACTCACATCAGTATCACAAACTGAATCAAGTTTGTTGCTCATATACATCTTTTTTTCTGGTTCTGTAATCTATCAACTTAATGTATTATTTGTATGTGTGTATCCAGGATTTACGAGTGTGGGATGAACATCATTGCTGCTATTCATGTAGGTTTACACAAATGTTTCACTCTAGTTGATCTTGTAACAGAACTGTACCATAGCACAGTGGGGTCTAGATTTTCCTTGATGTGACCTCAATATGCTAACTGCAAGACCAATGTTAGTATTAAGCCAAGGCAATTGTCCACTTTTCCAGTGACCACAGTGAAGGGCTTTTTTCCATTCATTAAAATACAGGTTAAACTGTGACATAATATTAAAACTTCAAAAGAATATAACCCAATTCTCTGAGATGGGATGCTGTGTCATGGTGTTGGCATTACAGGAACACAATTGAAATGGTCAGAAGTAGGGATGTATCACCAGCAAAGTCACGCTACGATACGTATCACGATACAGAGGCCACGATACATTAAATGTAATGTACGCATTCTAATATATTTAAAAAAATCATTGACATTGCTGGTAAAACACTGCTTACTATAGTGCCATTTCTAACTATTGCATTATGAAGGGCCTCCATAACTGTACCACAGTACAATATAGGTAATGGCATATGTTTCATGTTTACATTGTGCACTCCCCACCAGGTACAACATTCTGATTGTTTGCATCTTGTTTTTAAGCCCATAAATAATAATGTACTTGTTCTAATAAATTTATATTGTAATGTACTCATTCTAATATGTTTAAACAATAATTGACATTGCTGGTAGGTTATCATCGCACAAATTAACACACTCTCTATGTTATAAACTAACGCGCTGTCTTCACTGTATCTAACGCACACATGCTCAAGGCTGATTTATACTCGACGCGTCTGCAAGTTTTTTTTATTTTTTTTACGCGTCCGCAAGTTCCCCGTACTCATGGCAAATATGACGTCATCGCGGTGTTGGCGGAAGTTCGCTTTGAGTGCGCGCGACGGTGTGCACGACATTTTTGATAACTTTCCGCGCAGCTCCGCTTCCGAAGATGCACGAGTTCAAAGCGACTCTAGCCGAACATGCACGTCTGTGCCGGCATTTGTGTGAAACAGAAGCAGTTGATATTAAGTTCAGTCACACACAGATCACGTTGCGGCCTTACTCAGACATTCAGGAACAATCTTTTTAGTGCTGTTTTATCAACTAAATAGCTTAATCGCTCAAGAGCTACATTATCTTTCTCAACAAGGAGCTGGTAACGTCATTGTTTCTAAAGGAATTAAAGCCACAGCTTTACTGTTATAACTTTCCGCGCAGCTCCGCTTCCGAAGATGCACGAGTTCAAA